CTAAATAACTAACAAGAGTACATCATCCAGAAACTAACATCAACAACCCTAAACCACAACAAAAAAATTCAAAATATAACAAGCTCGTTGGAGCTTTCCTCTAGGGGGTCATTGGAACTGGAGGTCTGAAATGATCCATCACTACTGCACGAAATTCTGGAGCAATGGCAAACAAACCTCGTAAGAATGTGATGAAATCAACCGGTGTTAAGATCTGAGGTTCCATGCTACTAGGTCAACCTGATAGGAGGAGTATCTCATGTCTTAATATAAACTTTGTTGATTCAAACTTTTTCCGGTGTAGGACTTGAACACCCCTCCTCACGACCAAACACTTCGTCTGGATCGTGCCGTCATTCATTGTTTTTCATCGATTTGTCATTGTCAATTTTTTTTATAATCGTGTCATCATTTTTCACAAGGGAGCCCCACACCAGGATCGATTTGGCTCTGATACCATGTTAAGATCTGGGATTCCATCCTAAAAGGTCAACCTGAGAGGATGAGTAACTCATGTCTTAATATAGCACTTTGTTGATTCAAAATTTTTCCGGTGTGGGACTTTAACAGCCGGCGTAGCATTGCCTCCAGTGAAATCCCCAAACAAGGCTTCCATCCTCTTTAGCCGCGGAGACTTCCTGTCATCCTTAGTTCCTCACGGGCCTCCATCCACTTCGTCAGAATGCTTTACACAATTGCAATTAGAGTAATCATCAAGGGATAGTATTGGTCAATTTTCAGAAATTTGTCGCGATTGTGACGAAAAGTTCTAAAACGCAGCACTAACTCAGTGATGCTTAATATAAGCATAGCCAACCAAATCAACACTTCTGCTATTAAAACCTTCATGCTACCTAACATTATACCCTTGTGAAGACAATAAATTCTCACACCCTAGTAAATACACCCTGTAGTGTTTAGAGCAATGTGGAATATGATCACAACTCTGCATAATGTTTTCGAGTTTATGGCATCATAAGCAGATGTCAATCCCCATACAATGCCCCATGATGTCAGCAAAAAAGTGTTTTTGTTAATAACATCTTTAAATTTCAACACACACGCAACAATGAATAACAACCCAAATAAAAAGGATGTGAGCCCAAAAGTTAGACTAGGAAAACCACTCATGTTTCAAATGAAAACCAGAAGATGACAGAAAATAGATGAGATAAAGTAAGGTAAATGAGAAAATTCAGTCGTTATTATAAGGGGGGGGGGGGGGGCTGTCAAATAAACCCCCATATTACTTCAAAAAAGTCAATTGAACCACTCAACTAAAAGAACCCCCAATCAAACCCACGTACTCATATAAAATTTTCAAATTGGTTTTTTCAGTCAGTAACCTTCCTGTTTCCCGGTAAGCTGCATATGTCATGTATGGTGTGGCTTGAAATTTTTCTTTTTGCTGTTTCTCTTGCTTCTCCTTTTTCTTTCCCACTCTCTTTTCTTTGTTTGTTCTCTTCTTCTTCAACAACATGTTCCCAGGTCATCAACCTCATTGGCATTTCTGCATATGCAGGCAAAACAACTTCACCCTTGTCTCTTCGCTCTGTGTTCACCGTCCTCCTTTCTCATCCCTCCTCTCCCACCGTTCTCTTTCTTCTTCACCGAATATACTCCGCAACCTTTACGCTCACAGCAGACACATTCGTCGTAGTCGTCCCAAGCTGTTAAGACATGTGGTTCCATCCTAAAAGGTCAACCGTAATAGGAGGAGTAGCCCAAAGCCTTATATAGTATTTTATTGTTTTATAGTTTTATGGTGTGGGACAAATGCTTTAACATGCCCCCTCAGTCCGAACCAGGCTGAACAATACTGGGGTGTATAATGGGCCAAATAGATCCTTAACAAGCTACCCGTAATTATGGGTGCTAAAAAATCCATCAAACCACAACCGGAATTGGCTTCGATACCATGTTAAGACTTGGGGTTCCATCCTAAAAGTTCAACCCTAATAGGAGGAGGAGCCCAAAGCCTTATATAGAGTTTTATTGTTTTATGGCTTTCCGGTGTGAGATAAATACTTTAACACAAGCCCGACCACTGTCGCTCGTCTGCTTCGCCGCATGGATGTCATCGCCGGGATGCTCCTCTAGTTCAACCCCTTGTTCAAGTCTGAGCTTCTCCTTCCCGAACAGCGATTTTAATTTGCTCCTTCTATTGGACTCGCGATGAAGAAGTATCATGTCCCTGGTTTGTCTTACAATCTAACTCAAACAAAGATACCAGTGAAGAGGTTGCATTCCGACAATGGTTCCTCTTTTGTGTGGCGTTCTTCAGCGAGACCTCGGAACCCTAAGGGACTCCCACATTTGTAGAGAAAAATTCTAGATAATTATACATTTGGAGTTTTTATGGAAGAAACGTAAACATTCCCGTGCTTAGGATTAATTTTGGCGACATGGAAGTCCTAATATGGGAGAGAGATGCGTGTTAATTTTGTGGAAGATGAACGGTCCCAAGGTGCAGACCCATTTGAGCATTTGACTAGGCTAGATGGTCTTTTACAACATGTCAAAAGCTGGAGTACGAAAATAAAATAAAAATATGCCACATGGACATACATGTTGACCCCAATCGGTAAAACTAGTAAGTTAGCGGCTAAAAAGCCACTTTGAAAATCTTAAATGAGTTGGTGGGTTTGATTGGAGGTCAAGAGCATTAAAAATTCTTTACTCATTAATCATGTCATTTTCACATAATTTATAATCAATATGGATAATCACATGTTTAAACACTTTTAAACATTTTTATACATTCTCAAGTACTAGAGTACTCTAGTTAGTCTCATAAATAATCCAAGTATGCATTTTAATAAATTTGACAATAATATATTCATGATTAATCCACAATTTAATCTCTTATTCACTAATCCAAGCATGTCCCAAATAATCAATATTTTATTGATGGCAAATCATGTCCCAAAGTAATCCAAGGATTTCAAGCATGTCCCAAATAATCAATATTTTATAAGTAATGTGGATTATAAACATGTCCCAAAGTAATCCACAACTTCACAACAACATGACAAAATGCATGTGGGTTATAAACATGTGCCAACGTAATCCATGCATGTCTCAAACAATCAATATTTTATTATTATTTCAGTCTAATAAAATGTGTCCTAGTTAATGTTGTACTAAATTTATTAAAAATTGAGTAGTAAGTCCGTAGTATTATTCAAACAGTAGAGGGCATTGGAAATGAATGCAATTAATGACTCCTTGGAAGTTGTAAGTCTAAATATGTATACACGGAATTAGAATCATAGAGCCAACCTAGCTCTTTTCCGTTTGTCATTGGAGTGTCTTGGAAAGTGTAATTGTTTAACAAAAATGGTATAGGTAACCCAAAGTTATACCTCATTCGTACCCCATTTAAAAATCCTCCCTCACTTTTTCTCTCTCCTCCGTCCCACTCTCTTGCACCATTTTCTTTTCATGCAGCCCCCCCCCCCCCCAAATTCCCTCCCCCTTTCTTTCTCTTTTTTCCAAATCTTGATTTCTTCTACATTTCAAGATATCTCCCCTTCTTTAGGGGTTCTCATTTTTAGCATCCCCCTCCAACCTTCTTCTCCTGCTTCTCTCCTCTTCCGCCTTTATATTTTATTTCAAATGCAAAAGCTACAGTAATCGGACGAACGAGAAGAGCTCGGTAACCAAGAAGCAACGACGATGGTGCAAATCAAGAAACTTTGAATGACTTGAGCAGATCTTCTTGTCTTGATTTTGTTTTCTTGATTTTGTTTTCTAGATATTTTGGTGTGTTTTCGAAATAAAAAGGCTTATCCGCGTGACAGACAACTTGTAAGTGATGTGTTTGTCTACTCAAACATGGTTTCATAGTTGGTGAAACCTTGAACTAAAATGTCTGTCGCACAGAAACTCATTTGTTTGTCTACATAAAAACATTGTCTGTATGCACATGCAAGTATCGGTATAACTCATGGTTCTAAAAATCGTTCTAGGCGCCCGACTAGTCCCCGCCTATGTGCTAGGTGGTAGTCGTGCACCCCGATTTTAGTCTAGGCGCTCCGATTAATTGATTTGGCGCCTAGGTGAATTAGTTGGCCGCCTAAGGCGCCTAACTACCCGCCTAGAGCGCTTAATCGGCCGCCTAGACATCTAGATTCATCGATCATTTTTTTTTGCTTTTTATTTTAGTATTCTAAGAGATATATGTATCTTTAACTCTAACAACGCATATGAAGAAATCTACTAGTTGTAGATTAAAATAAATACTATACATGTTTTTGTTTTTATATATATACTCTTAAGTGTTATCATTATTTAATAATAATTATTCCGTAGTATTACTTGAAGTTAAGAAGTACTTTGTATGTATAACATGTTATTAAATGTGAAAACTCTTATCATTCATGCATGTTAGTGTGTGTATGTGTGTCTTTATATTTTATATACACATAAACACAACATTACTTATCATATTTATGGAATTTTTTGATGAAATGTTTTGAGCATGTTCTTTATGAAGTCTAGTTTAACCATAACAAATTTCAGCTAAAAATTCAATCGGAAAGGCACTCAAATAATTTCTTGAAGTTAACTCGGCAAGAAGACTACTCTACATTTGGGTACCTATAACAAAGGGTCTGTTTGCAACAGCTTCTGCTTTTAAAAAAGTGTTTTTTTTTAATGAAATGGGGAGAAGTGATTAAATAAAAGTTGATAGTGTTTGAAAAAAAAGTGATTTTGAAAAGTAAAAGTGGGTAGTGTTTGATAAAATAAGTGTTTTTTGTGTAATAGAAAAAGTAAAAGCACTTTTGATGCGGAAGCCGAGAAAAATAAAAGCTGTAGTGTTTGGGAAAATAAGTGCTTTTTTAAAGCCAAAAACTGAGAAGTGCTTTTTTAAAAACAATTGCAAACCAACCTAAAGTCATACTAATACAAAATAGAGGGGGGCCAAGTGGTTTTAAAAGATATCGAAAAGCCCAAAATAAAAAATCAAAGATCTGACTATAAATTTCGTTTGTTAGGGTTTTGAGGGCTCAGCTGCTACATTCATCGCGCGGAGGCTACCTTTTCTCTCTTCTCTGACCGGCGGCGAAAAGCAGCGATGGTTAGTTCACCGGATCAGCCATCCTTTTAATTTCCTGCAGTTACGTATTTATGCATGTATTGAGTAAAAGGTGTTATATTTCAGATCATATCGGAGAAGAACCGGAAAGAGATCTGCAAGTACCTCTTCCAAGGTCAGTCTATCAATACCCAAATTTTAAATCTGTAATTATATCGATTCATGCTTTTGTATGTAATATTTTCTTTTTCGATGGTGAAGAGGGAGTGTGCTATGCGAAAAAAGACTACAACTTGGCGAAGCATCCATTGATCGATGTGCCGAACCTTCAGGTAATTAAGCTCATGCAGAGCTTCAAGTCGAGGGAGTACGTGAGGGAGACTTTCGCTTGGATGCACTATTACTGGTATCTTACTAACGATGGAATTGAGTTTCTAAGGACATACCTCAATCTGCCCTCTGAAATTGTTCCAGCTACATTGAAGAAATCCGCCAAGCCACTTGGCAGGCCTTTAGGCGGACCTGGAGACCGCCCTCGGTAAATATTGACTACTTATGAAATGATTGGAATGGCTCAGTTGAGTAGTTGGTTTGTTTATTATTTATTTAATTTAGTTGATGATATGTTTTCATTTATTGAATATATGTAGCGGACCTCCACGTGAAGGTGGTGAAAGGAGATTTGGCGACAGGGATGGATATAGAGGTGGTGCACCTAGAGGTCCTCCTGGGGAGTTTGGCGGTGAGAAGGGTGAAGCAGCTCCTGCCAATTACCAGCCTTCTTTCAGGGTAATTTCTAATTCATTTGACCTGATTTACTTGTTGGAAGCTGGGTAGTTTTGTGTTCTCTTGCTATTCTTTCTTGAGGTTTAGAAGAATAAAATTTTAATACTTTATAAGGATCAGTTTCAGGGTTTACATTTTGATGGTTCTGGATCATCAAGTTTATATCTTGAATAGTACGAAGTATTTGAGAGTATATTGGGATAGGACTAACATTATTGGGTGATAATAAACCAATACAGTCTTCCTTTATTAATTATTATAAACAAGTTATAGACTAAGCCCCTCAAAGCCCCCAAAGCCCTTGACTTAAACATATATTGTACGGAGTAGTATACTAGTACCTCCGTCCCGCTAAGACTGTCCCATTTTACTTTTTTGGTCCGTCCCACTAAGATTATCTCATACCTTATTTGTTAAAGTTTGGGTGGTTCTAAATCATTCTTACTCTATTCTTACTTTATCAATTTAATATCAACCACACAAACCACTTTTTATAGATTTGCGTGTCACTCCCTCTTGTCCCATTGTTAGCGGGATGGAGGGAGTAATACTCTTGACATCTACTAGTACCTAATAGTTTGGAAACCAACGCTTCACAGTTTTCAATAAGAGCATGGGGCACTTCTCACATTATATGACACTTTTCTTGTTTGTACCAAAATATCAACATTTGCTTATTTAAACGTCACACTAACTTAAATACTCCGTATTACGTAGTACTATAAAACTTTTTACTTTCATGAACTTCACGTTTTGCATTATTTGTGAGCCTATACTATCTTTTCACACTTCTAGATGGGTACAATCACAACTATCATCTCAGTACTTTTGTCAAACACAAGTCTATCTTTCACTTAAGGACATAAGGAGTAGATGTTGAGTACAACATATTACATTTTTTGACATAAATTCCATTACATGCCTCTCTATCCAATATTCATCCATGGGTTGTGAAATGATGCATTACCAATGATTGCATTTAGACTTTTTCTTTATTCAAAGTTTTATGTGATGTCTCTCAGTGGGTGTGAAGTGCGTGTTATATAAAGCAATAATAACTTGAACCAATTTTGTAATGGAAGAAGAAAATGTGTTGTAACTAGTAAGTTTTATGTTTTTAACATGTAGAGTGGAAGACCTGGTTTCGGCCGTGGGGCGGGTGCACCTCCTAGTTCCAACTTCTCCTAAATCATATCTTCTTTGGGCCTCTCATGGATACTAATACTACTAAGACCAGGAGATGTGAACTATTGTTTGGTTCCAAGTTTTCAATTTGACTTTATATGTTATTCCCAGCAATTTTGTATGCTTGTCCAAACTGCAATCACTCATTTTTGTTGTTATTTATCAGTATTATTTCCTTTCAATGGTAACGCACATCAGGTTTGTTTTTTTCATCTATGCAAATCACTTCAAGAGCTCATCTATGCTTGCCAAAGTTTAATTTGGATGCTTAAATCCGTTCTGGTCTATTTAAATCTGATCTGGTTTTGTATGTTTAAATATGGTCCGGTTTGATATGTTTAAGTTTGGTCTCGTTTGTTTAAACCTGGTCTGTTTTGGGAATGAAAACAGTTCAAGCATAAACATCATCACTGTTTATGTTAACACTAGGAATGGACTGGTTTCGGTCGGCCCGGCCCGGCCCAGGGTGTTAGAGCGGGGCGGTTCTGGGCCTACTCTTCCTTTGACACGGGCCGGGCCCGGTTCAAGACTTCTTTTTTGTTTTTTCAATTTTTTTTCTTGGGTTGGGCTGGGTGTTTGGGGGGGGGGGGGTTGAGGGGTGAGGGGGGGTCGGGGGTTAATTAGAAAAGCAAAAATATATATATGAACCGGCCCGGACCTGGTGGCATCACGGGCCGGTTCCGGGCCCGCTCCCAATAATAAAAAGCCTGGTCCAACTGGCTTGGAGAGTCGGAGCCCAGCCTCGCCCGGAATTGGTGCATGTCAAAATGGGTAGGTTAGGGTTGTGAATTTCCGACCCATTTAGTTCGCGGGTTTAAGTGGGTTGGGCCAATGGGTTGTGGGTTGACCCGCGGGACAATATACACACATAGTTTCCACTTTTATTATCTTCAATATTGTATTTTTACTACCAAAAATATTATAATCACAATTAGTGATGGACATGGGCTGGGCCCGATCGGGCCTTTTTTAACAAACATGGGCCTGGAACCGGCCTGGGGTGATACTGGGTCCGGTCCGGGTTGGGCCTACCTGGCCGGGTAGGGGGACGGTTCGGGCCGGCCCGGGCATTTTTTTTTGGTTTAAATTAAGATGTAGTACAATTGGACAAGTCAAAGTTAAAATATATTTATTTGAAATATGTAGTACAATTGAAAATTGAGCAAAAATTAAAACATATAATACATTTTATAATAAATAAGAATCAATCGGAATTTCCGCCATCTTCGGTTGTTTCTTCCATAAAGTGGCGGGTGGGTTCAATGCTAACTTCTTGAGTTCTACGTTTGGCCTTCAACCAATCGTGGAAGCAAACAAGTGTCTCAAGAGAGTTTGCGCTCAATCTCGTTCTATAATCCGTTAGGACGTTGCCGGTTGCACTAAAATCTTGTTCCACAGCAACTGTTGATACTGGCATTGCTAGCACTTGCTTAGCCATCTTTGATAAGATCGGGAACGTTCTCTCTTTTTCCTTCCACCACTTAAGAATGTCAAAGTCATCCTCTTCTTCATACTCAACAGGAAATGTTAGATACAAAGAAAGCTCGTTGATTGAGCTTTGTTCATTAACCGGAGTTGATTTACTTTTTTTCATTAGATTGCCAAATGCAGATTTGAAAATTGATTTTCCTTTAGATGAATTAGATATTCGTGGCGGGGGAGGGGGTGCGTTACCATATTGTGCATGAAACTCATTAAATAATTGATATAATAAATTACTAACCTCTTGGAATTGTTGTTTAGGGTCTATGGCCTTGTCGTCGTACATAGGCAATGGACCAAAAAAAGAAGCATAATAGTAATCTAAACATTGCTCCAAAGAAGAAGTCTAAAACGAGGATCAAGAATAAATGCAATACTATATATATGCGGAATATAGGAATAATATTTTAAAAACTTTTGTTTCATGAAGTCACAAAAATAACTAACGTAAGCGGCATCAGAAAATTCAGAAAAAGCGCCGGCGAGATTAACAGCTTCAACAAAAAATTGGTTTGCGGTAGGTTTATAAACATGACTAAAAGTTTCAGTTGCATTATTAAAATACACCAAAACATTCACAATTTTTTCACAAGTGTCGATGTCGGCCGGGTTTATAATATAGCTAGCATATTCTTTTAAAAAAGCAGGAAAATGGTTTTTAAATCTAATAAGCACTTTAATTAAGTTATAAGTACTATTCCAACGAATAGACAAATCTTTAGGAAAAGCACAATATTTGACACGTCTTTCTTTCAAATAATTTCTCCATTGCATCTTAAGTGCATTACTAGCCCGTCCTTTACACATAAATTTAAAATATGACATGCACAACGCTGATGAAAAAACCTACCCATCAAAGAAGATGAACCACACAATTCACGCAATCTAGGAATAGCCGCAGTATTATTAGTAGCATTATCAAAATCAATAGCAATTTTTTTTAAACTATCCGTTAGGCCTGGACCGGGCCCGAACCGGCCGGGCCGGGCCGCCTTTTTGATGAACCGTACCCGAACCGCCCTCCTCCCCCAGGCTGGGTCAAAGCCCAAACCGGTTTTTTGGTACCCGGGCCGGGCCTGCACAGTGGTGGGCCAGGCCGGTTCCGGCCCGGTTGAGTCCACCCCTAATCACAATTAAAAAAATTACAACAATTGCAAAATAATTATTTTTCTATAATAAATATTCAAATAAAATGTTGAAACGTATATTTTATGTGAAGTTAGATACAATAGTTAGCAATTACTCCCTCCGTCCCCTTAAGTTTGGGACGGAGGGGTGTGGTGTGGTTTTTAAGAAAAAGTGGAATTGTGTGGTTGGTATTGAATTGATAAAGTGTAAATAAAGTAAGAATGAATTCTAACCACTCAAATGTTACCAAATATGGTATGGGACAAACTTAGTGGGACGGACGAAAAAGGTAAAACGGGACAAACTTAAGGGGACGGAGGGAGTACTAATCATGATTTACAAATAATCAATCAAAAGATTTAAATAGATGTTTACTTTTATACAATGAGTATTTTTATTACATACCATACCCTCTTATAGTATTCAAATTCTTGTATAATTAGTATTTAATATTTTGTAATTAAACTTAACAAGTATTGAGTTGTTAATATTTTGATTTCTTATATTTCCCTTATTATTACTTACTAATATAAATATACACTCCAAGGTAATTATTTTTAAAAAATCTTTTGTCATATTTTTTTTTACATTGGCCCGCGGGCCAACTTGTTTAACCCACGGGTTAGGTGGGTCGGGTTAGTGTTGTAAAAATGTTGGCCTGTAACTAAATGGGTTGGTCCGACCCAACCCACATGAAACATAACCCGTCACGGGTCGGGTCGGGTTGGGTTGACCCGTTTGACAGCTCTAGCTCCATGCCTAGTTAACACAAGTAAAATTTGGATGAAGGTTAATCTGGGTGAGCGTATTAATTGTGTGAAATTTGAAAGGTTTTTTCAAAATTGGATTATTGCAAGTGCCACCCAACCACCCATCAAGTTTGTGGATGTTAAGGAAATACGGAGTAAATGGTTAACAAATACGAAAAAGAAATTAGGTAATTTTTCGTTTTTCGAATGTGTTTTTTTTCTTATCTTCATTATCTCAAAGTCTCAAACTAACAACGAGTTCTTGTCAAATTTCAATAGAAAAAACGTATCTTCAAATTGATATACTACGTACACTTCTTGTACATACTTGATAGTTGATACTCCTACTTTGTGTACACAGGGAGCTGAACGAGCGGCTTGTGTATAGACAATTAAGGGGTGCATAAGAAATGTGTACAAATTATGTATACAAGCAACTTTTTTCATTATCATAATGAGCTTAGACTAACAACTTCATTTGATTAAATTTTGAAAGAAAAAAGCCATCTTCATATTAATAACCTATATAACGTTCACTATTCAAGTTTCTCAACTCTTGTGCATCCAATAAACAAAAATGTGTATGCCCTTCTTTGTTTGTGTACACGCCCATTTCTTTGCACATTTGGATGCAGCGTGACGTCTCTAAATATTGCTCCACATGTACTTCCTAAAAAGTGTTTTGTCTCATCAAGGCACAAAAACTTATCAAATATCAATCTTACATACATTATAACTTTTTTAGGGAAACTTGCATAAAATTTCATGCTTTTTGTTGGAATATGATTCTTTTTTTTTTAAGGACAAAAACGGGTTATAAATCACGACTTATGTAATGAGACCAAGGGGAGAGCATTTATCAAAGTGTAATTGGATGCATGTAACCATTATTGGAAAAAATTCCATCACCTGTCATTTGATAGGAGTATAAGCAACAACACAATTATAATGTCTTAATCTAAAACCAGTGGAATCATCTAAAGAATATGATGAAATATAAAAATGTTTAATGAGGAATGCTGAATTTCATTCTCCAACCTTCCCATGGTGTAGAAAACCTCTCTTGTTTTAGTCTTTTGCTTTCTCTTGAATCCTGATATCACATTTATGCTTGACCATAATCCATTATCTTCTTATTGTATGCTTGAGCTATGATCTATTTAGTAAACTGTTAAGTCTTAAGGTATGACACATTGATACCTACTCCTACCTCGTAAAGCTAACCCTCTTTTGCTTTGAGCGGAACTTGCATGTTTTTTTTTCTGCTTATTTATTTTCATACACAGAGAATGGGCTAGACATTTAGAGAACAATTGTAAAGGAGAATTTTCTATGAAGTAATATTCCATCCCAATTTGCAATTTAGAATATTCTGCTATTCCCAATTACGATGTTGATTATATGGAGTATCATTTAGGAATATTTTATGCTTAATGTAGACCTAAATAATGTTTATTTTATGATTTAGGAACTACATAGCCATAATACATTAATACTCTTTTTAACAAGTGCTGTTTTTGTTTTGTGAGGGAAACATATGTGCTTGTTTTAATGACATGGTATCAAGTTTGGTGGAATATGATAATGCACATACCATGTTTTGGTTAATATAAGAAAACCACTTTCGAATCAAGTTTAGAACCAAAAACTTCTAAAGCACAAGCTGAGGTAGAAAAGGCAAACCACCTATCTCCTCATAGGAAATCAAAAGTACACAAACAAGAACAATAGCACAGATCCTCCCCAACTCTAACTCAAGCCAGTAGCCACTCTATCCCTCAATGAAGTCCTCTTCATCAAAGTTAAAGTCTTCAGTAAGTACCTTTAGCATGAGAGTTTCACCAAACGGTTCATAAGGCGCTTCCATCAGCACTTTAGTCCTATCTTCTTCATTCTTGAACCGGAAAAGAACCCATTCATTATCACGAGGTATCAACTTACACCCAACGCCCCACGACCTGATGAGGCGGTTCAGCGCCTTACGACCAGGGTATATACCAGTAATGTGGCCAACCAAGCAATAACCCCAAAGGGAGACAAGGTCATCCAGGTCCGATTCACGCAAGTCAACCACATCTCCTTCGGGTGGGATATAGCTTAGCTTAAGCCCCTTTGAAGGCGACCTGTTGTCTTTATACAAATCTCTTCGGGATTTCTTTGGTTTAGCTGCGTCTTTTCGCTTAATTTCGTTGAGCACTTCGGCTGCATAACAAGAGACATAAAAGGCACAATCCTTATTAACGCCTGCAACAAAAAACAGCATCTAAAGAAGATTATAGAGTGGCATTAGGGGTCTATCTACCCAAGTTCTTTCGCGCATTGGAGGTATCAGTAACTTGTTCCTTTCCTTTATTCACCAAAGCAGCGGAGGCATTAGCTACGGAAGCAAGATCATCTAGCGTGACCTTAGGAACATCGCTTCTACCACCTCGCCCCATAGAAGAACAAAAAGAGGAGAAGAAACCTGAAAACAACTAAAGTTAAAAGCTGAAATGAACAGAGAATAGTATTCCTAATGGAAAAACTTAGAGCAATGTATAGAAGCCCCCAAAACAGGCCTAGACCCCCAAGAATTTTTTTTGATATAAAATATAAATACATATGAATCCCCAAAACATAAATTCTTAAAGCCCTGATAACCTGATTCCTAACCTACTATCCATAAGAAACTCCAGTCAGCGAAAAAAATCCATTTATAGATTCGGGAGTACCAACTACGAAATGAAGACAAATCTAAGAAGAAAAAAAAGAAAAGAAATCCGAGCTTAATAATTTAAGATTAAATAAATAGCAGATTTTTTGGCACGTGAACAGTACCGATGATTTTAATCCAGGTAATAATCGAGGCCGGGTGAAAAAGCAAAAATGAGCAGTTAGACTAGTTGAAAGAGTGTAAGAACTAATAAGGCATCTACCAGTAAACGACTAGTAAAACTTGTTTAGCCGGACACAGTAAACTTGCGGTGAACTAAATAGAGAAACTTTGAAAGCTTACTAGCCGTTGACAAACCTGTCTAGTACAGGGTACAGCCGTACCGGAACGGGTGGCCCAATTTATCCATTTAAGCCTAACTCAAGCCCATTGTCCGGCAAATATGGAGGAACGGACTAAGGATGTTTGTAAATTGATGTGAAATTATATGATCTGGTTTGATTTAATTTGGTCTGATCTGTTTAAGTTTAGTATGATCTCACAAATGAATGATCCATGTGTATTTTATAACAGTCAAAATTTAATTTGATATGACATAATCTGTTTAAGTCTGGTATATTTTGGTTTGAGGGCGTTATACGCTTGGTAAAAACATCCTAAGAAGTCGAAAATGAACCATAAGTAATATTGTCAATTTTCCTATTACTTTTTACATATTCAAACAAACTTAAAATATATAAAAGAGAATATTTCCCACTATAGGACTACCACTTTTATATGTAATACGATAAGATTAAAATTGGGTCAGAATGCCAAAATTACCCTGCAAAGTCTCTCTTCCTCAATTCGCGAGCTGCTAACCCTACCGTTAATGTCGGCTAGTCAGCTACTATAGATGAGTGTTCACGGGATACAATGAATGACCCCTCCTCACGTTCCTCTGTTATCTTCTTCTCAAGCTCTTCTTTTCTCTTCTTCCACCGTTCACCCGTTTTATTTTTCTTTTGGATTTAATTTTTTTATTAATTTGATTTTTTTTTAAATATTCATATTATTTTCTCATCTTTTGAATCTGAAAATGATAAAATAGCTGTTTTATTGGATACTAATGTGAAAATAATGTCACTATCATGACATTACATTTATCAAGTTGGGAGTTTTTCATTACCTCTTCATTATATTTTCAAAACAAAAAAAGAGTAAGAATTTGATGTTTTCATAATACGAATGACATTTAAAAAAGGAGTGAAAGGACAGACTGTCATGTTTTTTACATCTATAGATTCATCATCTTTAATGACATTATGAAAAAAACAGGATATTTAAAAAAAATATAGGCACCACCATATTACAATTTGAAAGATGGGGGAGAGGCAAGGATGTTTCTCATTAAATCTGAAGAGGAAGAAGGGAAAAGAGGGTGAAATTTCCGATAAAAAAAACAAATAAAACGCACATGAATCAGGAGAGAACTAAAGGACAATAGAGAACTACCTGGGAATTCTAGGCATCACTGGAGAAGAAGATGTCAAAGCCAGAGATGATGATTATGAGCAGGAGAGAGCGATGAGGAATGGGCTTTATGGACTTTACGGAAACGGCGAAAATTTAATATAGAAGCAGATTCCTATGTCGGGAATAAAACATGTTAACTCATATTTTGTCTTTTTATCTATGTTTTAGTCTCATACAGAGCAATTTCTTATATGAAACACAAAGAATACAATATTGATCCCATACTTTATATTTGCAGGAATCCAATTTAGCATAAAATACTTATACAATACTTTATATTTGTAAAAAATTATACACCATATGAACACAAATGTTTTTTTTTTTCATTATCGTAGAGGATTTGCATTATTATTTATAATAAAACTGTGTGAAATAGTTCAGAGACTATAACCCTTTTACTAATATGATTACAATTTGGTTGCAATTCTTCTTTTCTTATGCAACATTATCTTCCTACACTCAGGGGCGGAGCCAGGACACTGGGCCGGACTGGGCCGGTACAAAGAATATTTTTGGAAAAAATTTCACACAGAAATTTTTAAACTAAAAATATAGAGATTTTTAAAATTTGGGCTGGGCCAGGGCCAGGGGTGGCCACCCCTAGCTCCGCCCCTGCCTACACTCCTTCGTAAGGAATTGATATAAAGAACATAAATTTAGTGTAAGCACACTTGATATAATTAACTTTATTATGGACCAATTTACAGGGAATATAGGGAAATCATTATATGCACACAGTGAGTGAAGGACATAATCCACGCTTTGGTTAGCAATTTATGTACTCCTAGGGGTTGACCTAGGAAATCGATCTTGGGGGTTCAAAATATTTGTTCGGGGGCAAAAATTATTTTTTGAGGGGGCGGAAAATATTTTTCGTATATATATATATATATATATATATATATATATATATATATATATATATATATATATATATATATATATATATATATACCCTAAAAAAAATTTGTTGGGGGGCGGTAGCCCCCTGGGTCTCTACTACGGTCCGCCCCTATGTACTCCTATCTCATATCATAGATATATTGATATTTTACGAATAAAATGTCTATCTTACAATTTAGGACATAAGGAGTAGATGCTGGGTACATCATATTTCATTTTTGACATAAATTCCATTACATGCCTCTCTACCCAATATTCATTCATGGTTTGAGAAAGGGACAGGGGCGGAGCTAGGGGGTGCCCAGGTTAGGCCCTGGCCCACCCAAATTTGAAAAATGTCAATACTTTTAGTGTAAAAAATTTCGTGTAAATTTTTTTCCAATAATATTCTTTGTACCGGCCCAGTCTAGCCCAGTGTCCTGGCTACGCCCCTGGAAAGGGATAAGGCTAAAAAAGGACACTAAGGTTATTTACGAATCTCAAATTAGACACTTAAACTTTTAAGTGGACCAAATTAACACATGATTTGCTTATTTAGATAACTTTTGGCCATCCACTCACATCTCAATTAAACGCCGTCTGTCCGTCCGTCTGCTGAGAGGGTTTCACCAATTTTTGCCAACGAAGGAAAATCACCAACATAGTTTTCAGGCTTGAAGGAGAAGGTTTCAACCTTCCTTCAATGGTCGCGCACTGGTTGCTTCTGTTCCCTTCACTTACTCGTTAGTCTTGCTGATCTCATCATATGTTAGCCATTTCAGAATTCCTTCAGCATTTGCTCTCTGTATATCCAATCCATATAAATTTCAATATGTCACCCAATTTGAACAATACCACTACAAGTATAAAACAATAAACTTTTTTATGCATTATTAGTCACATAATCATAGAGCACTTAACAGAATACAAAATTGAAACAAATCTATTAGTTAGTCAAACATATAAACTTATAAAACCATGGTTCTTTCTCAAACATAAAAATCTCAATGGTTTATTCTACTGGTACAACAATAACAACTCAGGGGAAATTAAACTTTTCCAGGTCTGTCAATGCGGCAAAGATAATTGACCAAAGCTTCAATACTCAGTTATCTGCTGCACCAGATCCACCGGCGGAAAAAGGGGTGTTTTCGACCTATGCTTCAAGTTCAAAGAGCAGATTCACCTCCTACTTTAACTATGTTGATGGCCAATAATGCCAGTGTCGATGTTAAGGGTTTGTGACTTACCGGCCAAAGGAATGGAGATATGAATATACTCCGCAGTCAGTAGCTATGGGAGCAACTATTGAATTTCTATTTATTTGATTTGTAGCTACAAATTGAAAGGGATACAATATTATTAGCTTTAGGATGACAGTTAAAAAAGACGGACAATTAAAAGAAATGTTACTGAGTGGCCAAATGTAGCTCTAATAAGTTATTTATGTGTTAATTTGGTCCGCTTAAAACTTAGTGTCCAATTTGAGATTTATAATTAACCTTAGTGTTCTTTTTGAGCTTTATCCCTTTGAGAAATAATGCAATACCAGGGATTGGATTTAAACTTTTTATTTATTTTTTATGTCATTTTGTTGAGTGGTGTCTTTCAGTGTTATGTGCGTAAAGTGTTTGTGTTTAGTACGTGAAGTGATTGAATTACCTGAAAGCTAGGACAAATAAAGATCCTTTGGTTTTATTATTTCACATCCAGATATAAAACTACAGTAACTCGAACTGGTTGAGTCATGGAAAAGTTTAAATTGGATGTTTGGACTTTAGAGAAGTATTTGAAATTGAAAATAAAATTAAAGAATGGAAAGGTAATACATTTAGGATTGAAATTGTATGAAGCTCTGTTCTAAAAATCGTTCTAGGCGACAGACTAGTCCGGCCGCCTGGGCGCTAGGCGGTGATCGGGCGCCCCAATTTTTGTCTAGGCGTTCCGACTAATTGGTTTCCTGTTTAGGTGAATTAGTCGTCCGCCTATGGCGCCTAGTTGCCCACCTAGAGCGCCTAATCGGCCGCCTAGGCCGTCTAGATTCGTCGAACATTACTTTACTTTTTAATTTAATATTCTAAGCGATATATGCACTTTAACTTTAGCCATGAATATAAAGAAATGAAGTTTTAAATTAAAATAAAACTATATATGTTTGTATATATACCTAAATTTTATCATTAATTATATTTATACTATAATGAAGTTAAGTGATCCGTTATCATATACTACGTATGATTAAATGTGAGAATTCTATCTTTCATGTTTGTTAAAGTATATGTATATATGTATTTTATACACACAAAAATACAATATTACTTATCATATTTATGCAAAAATATAGATAAAAATGCAAATTCTATGTCTCTGACTAGTCCCCGACTAGGCGCCCGCAATAGAGCAAGGTGTGATGAAATGACGTAGGTATCTTCAGGCAACAAAGATCGAGATGATTAAGAAGCAAGGCAGTATGATGATCAAGATCTGATCGATCAGATGGTTTGGAGGAATGTGAAGTGTTATTGGTTCGTCCCCCTCCTGAACCGCCATCAGGGAATCAACGAGCAACTAGGCTGAGGATCTTGCAGGCTTACCAGGAGTAGATTGGAGTAGGGGAGCTCCATCAATTTAATTTTGTTTATTTATGCATTTTTTGTTTGCATTTGTTTTCTACTTTCTTTGTTGTCTTTTTTATTTTGAACATTAAGAGTTGTAGGGTTGTTGTTTGATTCATTTTACTAAACAGAATTATGTTGGGAGGTAATCAGACTGTTTTGGCCGCTAATAGTCTCGAAACTCTCACATGTTCAATAATTAGTCTCCCAGATTTAGCCAATTTAGTGTGTTATGCCCCTAATTGGTTTTGTCAATTTTGAATTTTTGGGAAACAT